CCCCCCCCCAAGGACGACAACGAGCCCGGGGCGGCGCCTTCGGCCTTGGCCCCGCTGAAGCTGATGTCCGCGGTGGGAGAGATCCCCATCCTGGGCCATCTCCTGAAGCGCCTCCGCAGAGTGGGGGGGGGGGAGGGCTTAGGGTTTAGGGTTTAGGGTTTAGGGTTTAGGGTTTAGGGTTTAGGGTTTAGGGTTTAGGGTTTAGGGTTTAGGGTTTAGGGTTGAGGGAGCTTGGGGTTTAGGGCTTTAGGGAGGGTTTAGGGCTCTGAGGGGGTTCAGGGGCGGGTAGGATGCAAGTTCCAGTGCCAGGGGGACGCTCGGGACGCACATGGAACAAGCAATCCCCGACCAGCCAAGGCCAATCAGAACCAAACCCTCCTGCACCCCCCTATAGGTTTAGGGTTTAGGGTTTAGGGTTTTGGGTTTTTGGGTTTTTGGGTTTTGGGTTTACATATACCACACCCTCTAAGACCTGAAGCACTCCGTCGATGCACGGGCCCAAAAGTTTTTCGAGGAAGGCCGACACCACGAGAATCACAAAAGCGCAACGAAACGCAATCCAAGACAACAAGCGCGGCCGGTCGCAACGGGACATGAGCAAAGCACCTTGTAAAGACCATCACGGTGGGATGCTTCTGTTATAGTTTGTTTCTTCACGGCGGTTCCATGTCCAATACAATATGGTTGAGGCGGATGCGGGCATTGACGTTCACGCTTCAGGGTTTCGCTAGCTGTCGGCCTCTGCAGCAGGTACTTCGTGGAGGACTTGACAACCACTTTCACGTGGCGCCAGGACTGCTGCACGGCAGGTGTAGTGGCTTAGGAGTTGAAAGGCGGGTTTGCGGCTCAGGGATGTCTGGGGCTGAAGGATGCGAAGGCTTTAGGGTTTAGGGTTTACGGTTTGTAGGGTTTAGGCTGTTTAGGGTTTAGGCTCCTGCAGACCGCCTCGGGCCCTGGAGGATGTTGGCCTGCCCCCAGGCCACATCAAGGCCATCCACCCCATCGGCTCCGTCGCTGTCGTCCAGCTAGCTTCGCGGCAATGACTTAAGTTGGTCCCCCAACCCTAAACCCTAAACCCTAAACCCTAAACCCTAAACCCTAAACCGTGGAAATGAGAGTCCTTGCAGAGCTTTTTAGGGTTGAGGTTGCTCGTGCTGAGCGCAAGTCTTGGTGATTTTTGTGAATTGGGTTGGCCAAGCCCCGACTGCTCCAGGGCCCGGAAGTGGAGATGCCAGAACATCCGCAACCCCAACATCGAAACCAGTGGAATGGAAAAAAACCCAGTGCTTGATTTTGCGTTTTGTGTGGTGACCCGAATATTTCTTCGTTCCTGAAATGTCCATAGGTGGCACTTCTTGCGGGACAACCCGACATGAACCCTACGAGACAACCTAATAACTCTAAACCCTAAACCCTAAACCCTAAACCCTAAACCCTAAACCCTAGACCCTAGACCCTAGACCCTAGACCCTAGACCCTAGACCCTAGACCCTAGACCCTAACTTAGAACCCCAAATCCCTGTGTTCAGGCTTGGTTTGAGGATGCCATCCAAGAGGCTGGATACACGGGCCTATTCACCGCGACGCAAGAGAAGCTTAGGGGAGCGACGGGTAGCTGTTTTAACCTCTTTTGTGGGGGTTTAGGGTTTAGGGTTTGGGGTTTAGGGTTGCTTCCGAAGCCCCTGTTGAAACTCAATGGCGGGCCTGTGCGAAATTAAGCCTGAGCCCCTCAAGTGTTGACACCCACACCGCCCAAAGGAATGCGCTCATTCGCATTGGGCCAGCGGGAGCTCCCAAGGCGGACGGGATGGCGCCGGGCGCGGCGCTGAAGGTCTTCCGTGACAACGAGGAGAGCGTGAACTCCTTCATGCTGTACTCCCTTCGGGGCCAGAAGCCCGTCTTGCAGGGATTTGAAGTGATTATAGGGTTGCTGCGCCTGTGGTGCGCAGCAGGTTTCTTGCAAGTTGAGTGCGCAGTAAGGAAGGGCTTCAGTCAGTTTGAGCACATGCTGTGCAACAAGCTGTCGGATTTCCGGGACAAGGGATTTGCCGAGAAGCTGCTCCTCAAGTCGTTTGAGACAGCCTCGAAGTACCCCTTCACCACCGGCTTGTCGCAATGGGCGGAGGGGCCTGGGCTGCTACCAGAACATACGAAGTTCCCGTTCGTGCTGTGCCTGCGGCCTACTGACATCATTCGCGAGCACTTCGAGGAGTTCAAGCATGAGAAGTTCGAGCACATTCAAGAGCAGCTGGGCTTCCTGTGTCTTGGCCTAACGATGCCAAGCTTCTTTCCTGTTTCTGCAAGTCATGGCAGTAGATCTTATAGAACACAGTACTGAACCTGCATATGAGTGGACCTACTCCACAAAAGATTGTTGTCCCGTGGGCTAGACAGCCCTGTCCTTCGCATGGAACGGGGGCTCATGACTCATGACAGGCCGGCCCTGTCGGACCTCTACGAAATCTGGGCTGCCCCAGAGCCCAAGACAAATCTCACGAAGATCGGAATGGTGAGTTTGCGCACCGAGTTCCGCAAGACGAAGTTCGGAGACACGGAGCTCTTCTTCCGAGCTTCAACCGCAATGGCAATTTAAAATTGCAGATTGCAGGCTAACCGGGACTTTGGGAAGAAAGGCGTTGAACAGTGCTTTCATGGTTCTGGACTAATTGCTATGTTTGCAGAGGATGAAGTATGTTGTTGTTGCTACCACTCTGTGTCAGTGTGTCGCTGTGCCCCTTTGTCTCTGTTTGAGGTTAGGTTGAGCCTTGGCTGCACTTCTTTTTGCCAGGATGTGAGCACTCAGGACATGACAGGTTCGAAAATGACCTGATGATTCGGGAAGATTGGAAGCCAATTGTTGACGATCCGGACTTCTGGTTTGACGAGGGTGCCAACAACCGGTACCTTAGCCATAGTTGGTTACCATGTCAAATTGTTAAGAGTACTCAAACCCAATCAGGAATAAACATTTGTTCTTTTAATATTGTCCCAACCATGAACTAGGTACAGTGATGTGGATCCGGGGGAGAAGGACTCCGGTCTTGGGCAGAATGCGTGGGCTGGTGGCTACAATCCAGCCGGCGTGTCCGAGATGATGAACGATGCCCAGCACACCGGGGGCTCACTGCTCGAAACGGGCTCCCGCCCGCGTTGCCCCTTCGCGTATCTCCATCAAGGCGAGAGCAGCATCGTCCACTCGCTGTTGTCGAAGTGACCGTGCCTCCGGGCGAGGCATCCTACACTGCCTACATGACGGTCATGCCGCGGGTCTGGCCGACTCCCGACTTATAGCTTTATTGCAGCTTTCGTGAGTGCAGGTGCTTTCAGCAGAAAAAGCAAGCGAGCGGTGCCCTTCCACATCGGGAATTCAGCGTGGAGACTCCCAGAGACCCTTTCAACAGCTTAGCTCAAGGGGCTAAGACTCACCTTGAGCGTTCGGCACCCGAAACCGGGGTTTCCGGAAGATTTTGTCAAAACCTGGTTTTGACTAACAAAACCGGGTTCTTGCAAAATAATGACGGATAGAACCCGTAAATACCCGTCGGCAAACCCGTAAAAACCCATCGAAAACCCATAAACAAAAAAACCGTCGGCTTTGTTTTGGCCCTGCAAATCCCGGTTTTGGTTTCGAGAACCGGGAACCTTCTTTTTGTTGGGGGGTTTTGGTTGCTGAAGGCATGCATACCCCCTAAGGTTCCCATGTACTGATCCGTGCATGGTGTAGGATTGCTTTTGAAGCTGGAGGTGCCCCAACCCCCAATGAGCACCTGCGCCTCAGTTCGGCAAATCTTCACTCAAGTCAAGCGCGGTTGGGGGTTATGGAGCTTATAGTGTAGCCTTTACACATGCTTTCGCTCAGCCTGCAACAGCCTGCGTGAGAAAGACACAGCGGTAGGCGGTGAGAGCTTGTCTAAAACCCAGGAGCCCCAGACCGCCCCGACTGAAATGCCGAATCTTTCAGCCCGTAGCCTTAAACCGCCCTAAGCTGCAACGCCTATAAGCCTCCTGAGCAAGGTACGGATCCCTTCTCCTCGCCTGCGTCTGATGAGAAAAGGGGAGCTTTGACAGTTTCAGGGGTTCGGACAGATCCTAAACAACCTAAACCCAGCGTTTGGGGCCTTATAATATGGAGTCTCGAAGGCCTTCAGGATCTTGGCGCGAAAGCAGGTTAGGTTTATCCTTTTTTGAAGGGGCGCTTTTTTGGAGGTTTCGTCAGAAAGTTGATAGGCTTGAGCAAGCTCAGGGCTAGGTCGAGGGCAGTCGTATTTGATACGGTCCGATTTGAGGGCGAGGTCTCGATTTTGCATGTCCCCGTTGAGTCCCGCATGCGCGCGGTCGTTTATATACTACGCACGGAAAAGGGACCACATGCCTGTGGGTTCTCACGAAATCCCACGAAGTCAAGGGAACCGCGATCTCGAAACCTTGAGCTTGGCATGATCCCCCTTGTAGCACCAGTCCCCCTAAATACCTTCCCAAAAATTCGACGCTGATATCTTATCGGGGGAGCATCCCAATCCTTTACCTTCCGAAACTCTTTGAAGAAGGGTTTAGGGTTTAGGGTTTGGGGTTTAGGGTTCCGGGTTTAGGGTTTTAGGGTTTGGGGTTTAGGGTTCCGGGTTTAGGGTTTAGGGTTTGGGTTTAGGGTTTAGGGGAATTCGTTCGAGGTCATAGGCGGTGGAGTCTCCCCCTCCCAGAAGCATCATGTGTACTTAGAGAGCATGCAAAGGAAGACTGGACACAAAGCCCCTTACAACACGAAGATACTTGGCCACCTGCTGGAATACTTGAGATATGGACTTAAGCGCTGCAAGTCTGCGAGAGCTCGAGCCTGTCCTTATAGCATACTGTGGGCTTTCGGGGGGAAGCGCCATATCCTGGGCTCTACCGGTTTTGAGGGCTTTTGTGGACTCAACAACCCCAGTCATGACTTTCCCGCAGCCTGGCCGACCGAAACTGGTTAGCTGCCCTGAGCTTTTCAGATTGCTAGTTCAAAAAGAAGGCCCTGCTTATAGGTTTCTGGAAAAATGTCTAGTAAGAGCTCTTCCTGTAGACCCCAGTCTACCCGGTTTCACGAAACTTTGAAGACCCGGTCTTACGGCACTTGGAGGTTCATGGGTATTTAGAGGTAGGGCTATGAGTAGGGTAGTAATTTGTACTTATATCCTTACTTATAGGATACTTCTAACCCTACTTTCAACCACCCATGAACCCCCATGTAAGCCCAGCAAATCCCAATAAAGAAACACTAGCCGGCAGCTTATCTAGGGCCGGGAGCAGGCCCTTTTTGTCCTTTGTTTTTGGGTTGGGGTTCCCTTATAATGCCCTCAATACCAAAAAGGGTACCCTTATGTACGTAGGACCTTTAGGGTCTATTTGGCGCTGCGCTTGGCCTCGACCTCAAGGACTTCTGGGATTTTATGTTTTAAGGATATTATGCATTTTAAAATAGAAGAAAATCCTTAAAATCCGTAAAAAATAAAATCCGAGGCGCCGAATTTGGTTTTAGGAGAAGCCCCAAACGATTTAAATTTTTAAAAATCCTTAAAATCCATAAAAAATAGAATCAAAATAATTTATTTTTTAAGGATTTTAAGGATTTTATTCGATTTTAAAATGCATAAAATCCTTAAAAAATAAATTCGGCCTCTTATTTTATTTTTTAAGGATTTTATGCATTTTAAAATAGAAGAAAATCCTTAAAATCCGTAAAAAACAAAATCCGAGGCGCCGAATTTGGTTTTAGGAGAAGCCCCAAACGATTTAAATTTTTAAAAATCCTTAAAATCCATAAAAAATAAAATCAAAATAATATATTTTTTAAGGATTTTAAGGATTTTATTCGATTTTAAAATGCAATAAAAATCCTTAAAAAAATAAAATTCGGCCTATAGATTTTATTTTTTACGATTTTATGCATTTTTTAAAAATAGAAGAAAATCTTAAAATCCTTAAAAAAACAAAAATCCGAGGCGCCGACGAATTTGGTTTTTTAGGAGAAGCCCCAAACGATTTAAAATTTTTTAAAAAATCCTTAAAAATCCATAAAAAATAAAATCAAAATAATCTATTTTTTAAGGATTTTAAGGATTTTATTCGATTTTAAAATGCATAAAATCCTTAAAAAATAAATTCGGCCTCTGATTTTATTTTTTAAGGATTTTATGCATTTTAAAATAGAAGAAAATCCTTAAAATCCTTAAAAAATAAAATCCGAGGCCGAATTTGGTTTTAGGAGAAGCCCCAAACGATTTAAATGTTTAAAAATCCTTAAAATCCATAAAAAAATAAAATCAAAATAATTTATTTTTTAAGGATTTTAAGGATTTTATTCGATTTTAAAATGCATATTGTAGAAAATCCTTAAAAGAATATAGAGGCCGAATTTATTTTTTTTAGATTTTTTTTGTTTTTATGCATTTTTAAATCGATATTAAAATCTTAAATCCTTAAAATTAAATTATTTTGATTTTTATGTTTTATGGATTTAAGGATTTTTAAAAATTAAATCCGGTTTGGGGGTTCTCTCAAACCAAACTTCGGCCTCCCTGACTCGGATTATTTTTTTAAGGATTTACGGAATTTTTTTTCTTCTATTTTCTTCTATTTTAAAATGCATAAAATCCTTAAAAAATAAAATCAGAGGCCGAATTTATTTTTTAAGGATTTTATGCATTTTAACATCGAATAAAATCCTTAAAATCCTTAAAAAATAAATATTTTGATTTTATTTTTTATGGGTTTTAAGGATTTTTAAAAATTTAAATCGTTTGGGTTCTCCTAAAAACAAATTCGGCCCCTCGGATGTTATTTTTTAAGGATTTTAAGGGATTTTTTTTTTATTTCTATTTTAAAAATTTTGCATAAAAATCCTTAAAACAATAAAAATCAGAGGCCCCGAATTTATTTTTGTAAGGCTTTTATGCATTTAAATTCGAATAAAATCCTTAAAATCCTTAAAAAATAAATTATTTTGATTTTATTTTTTATGGATTTTAAGGATTTTTAAAAATTTAAATCGTTTGGGGCTTCTCCTAAAACCAAATTCGGCCTTTCTCCTATTTTAAAATGCATAAAATCCTTAAACAATAAAATCAGAGGCCGAATTTATTTTTTTAAGGATTTTATGCAGTTTAAAATCGAATAAAACCCTTAAAATCCTTAAAAAACAAATTATTTTGATTTTATTTTTTATGGATTTTAAGGATTTTTAAAAATTTAAATCGTTTGGGGCTTCTCCTAAAACCAAATTCGGCCTCGGATTTTATTTTTTAAGGATTTTAAGGATTTTCTTCTATTTTAAAATGCATAAAGTCCTTAAAAAATAAATTCGGCCTCTGATTTTATTTTTTAAGGATTTTATGCATTTTAAAATAGAATAAAATCCTTAAAATCCTTAAAAAATAAATTATTTTGATTTTATTTTTTATGGATTTTAAGGATTTTTAAAAATTTAAATCGTTTGGGGCTTCTCCTAAAACCAAATTCGGCGCCTCGGATTTTATTTTTTACGGATTTTAAGGATTTTCTTCTATTTTAAATCAAGCTCCTAGGCGCCTAAGCGCCTACTTCTTCAACCCTTAAAACCTTAAACCAGTTCCTAAGCTACCCCCTGCACTAGTAGATCCTTAAACCCTAAGCTCCAAAGCTCCTAAGCTCCTCGGCGCCTACCCCCTAAACCCCTAAACCCCTAAACCCTTAAACCCTAAACCCTAAGCTCCTGAGGTCCTAAGCACCTAAGTGCCTACCCCCTAAATCCTTAAACCCTCCTAAGCTCCTAAGCTCCTAAGCGCCTAAGCGCCTAAGCGCCTACCCTTAAACCTTAAATCAAACCCTATACTCCTAGGCTCCGAAATCCTTAAACCTAAACCCTAAACCCTAAACCCTAAGCTCCTAAGCTCCTAAGAGCCTCAGCGCCTACCCCCTAACCCTGAGACCCCGGGACCCCTTTTTAAATTTGAAAAATCCTTGCCTTCTTCTACGCTGAAATTTTCTAGGTTTTAAGGATGTTAAGAGATTTTAATATTTAAAAGGAGCTTTCGTTTTTGAGGTTGAGGGCACGCTAGGGCTGACAAAAACCCTATGCTAGTGTTTACAACAAATTAAAACCCTTTCGCTTGAACGTGTTTACAAACACACCTTCGTTTTCGAGGATGGGGGCACACCCAGGCTTACAAAAATCCCGTCGTTTTTGAAGTTTAGGACACACTAGGG